ATCCCGGAACAAAAACCGAGGATCTCCCGGCACAAAAACCGTGGAGCTTTTTCTTTCCCAAATCCCGGAACAAAAACCGAGGATCTCCCGGCACAAAAACCGTGGAGCTTTTTCTTTCCCAAATCCCGGAACAAAAACCGAGGATCTCCCGGCACAAAAACCGTGGAGCTTTTGCTTTCCAAATCCCGGAACAAAAACCGAGGATCTCCCGGCACAAAAGCCGTGGAGCTTTTTCTTTCCAAATCCCGGAACAAAAACCGAGGATCTCCCGGCCCAAAAACCGTGGAGCTTTTTCTTTCCCAAATCCCGGAACAAAAACCGAGGATCTCCCGGCATAAAAACCGTGGAGCTTTTTCTTTCCCAAATCCCGGCCAAAAAACCGAGGATCTCCCGGCCAAAAAATCGTGGAGCTTTTTCTTTCCAAATCCCGGCCAAAAAACCGAGGGTCTCCCGGCCAAAAAACCGTGGAGCCTTTTTCTTTCCAAATCCCGGCCAATAAACCGTGGAGCTTTTTCTTTCCAAATCCCGGCCAAAAACCGAGGATCTCCCGGCCAAAAACCGTGGAGCTTTTGCTTTCCAAATCCCGGAACAAAAACCGAGGATCTCCCGGCACAAAAGCCGTGGAGCTTTTGCTTTTCCAAATCCCGGAACAAAAACCGAGGATCTCCCGGCACGAAAACCGTGGAGCTTTTTCTTTTCCAAATCCCGGAACAAAAACCGAGGATCTCCCGGCATAAAAACCGTGGAGCTTTTTCTTTCCCAAATCCCGGCCAAAAAACCGAGGATCTCCCGGCCAAAAAACCGCGGAGCTTTTTCTTTTCCAAATCCCGGGCCAAAAACCGAGGATCTCCCGGCCAAAAAACCGAGGAGCTTTTTCTTTCCAAATCCCGGCCAAAAACCGAGGATCTCTCTACACATTCCTGATTTGATTGCTTAGATATGTGGCACAACTAACTCACGAAATTTTCCTAGTGAAAACTGGGGCAGAAAAATTCGTTCGTTTGTTTGTTTTGGTATCCTAAGCAGGTCAACCTCAAGACACAAGGTGTGAGATGACCAATGGAATAAATCTCAATCCAGAATCAAGAAAAGAAGAAAAGAACAAAAAAGATGAACTCAAATGTGAAGCAAGCAAGGGCGCGGATTGCTCAAAATCTGATTGAAGTCACAAGCTCCATTGACCCTGTTTTGACTCAATGCTGCATGAAGAAGTAGACACCTACAACTTGCAAGCATCAAGATTCAGATCGAAGTCCACGGCAAAATCAGCTAAGACTCAAGATCAAGTTTCAAGACAATTATAGATAGGAATCTTGTAACTCATAGTTGATAGGCATAGCTAGCTTAGCCTTGATTTTCCTTCTGGTGTAATAAGGAGATCAGCAGGCAGTAGCAGCAGCAACAGCTGTGAAATCACAGCTCCTGGTAGTCCCAGCTACCAAACCTTCCAGAACTACACTGACCTGATTCCTTTATAGCCAAGGATATGTAGGCAACCTTTGAAGCGGGGTTCGGTCAGACGGTTTTCAAAATGCTTCTCATGGAGTGCCGAGCAGGCAAAAAATCTTTCATGGTGCTCATTTATCTTTGCCCGAAAACCCTTCGTGTCTTCGAGCAAAGAGGGGCAGTTGTGAGCACGTGATTTTTGCCTCGCTTAAATTATTCCTATAAAAATTCATAAAATTAGGATTTTCTTTTATTATTTGATTTATAGAATTTAATTGCATGATTTTGTGATTGTTTGCATTTTTGTGTGCATTTTTAGTCGGCATAATTCATAAAAATACCAAAATAGTACATTCGCATCTAAATTTGATTTTTATATTTTTAGTTCTACCAATTAAATAATATTACCAA